GGGGGGGGGGGGGGGGGGGGGGTTAGGAGTTCTTCATGCAGGGATGTTGCAGTAGTTTAGCAGGACTGCTAGCGTCTCTCCTCCAGACCGGACCCAGTGGTTTCTTTCCACAAAATGAGGCTCCCATAGTGCAGCTAAATGGTGTCATGCTAATGACAATGTACGGTCAAAATAGTTCAATTCACGGCATTTTATTTTCCTGAAGAACATAGAATATGAATATACACAAATACCCATCTTGGCGCCCCCACCCCCTATTTTTCCAGGGGTGGGGGGTGACACAGAAAGGTGGTGCTGGCTAAATGTGGTCCATGTTTACACATCCCTTTGCTTCGGTTGGGGGAGGTGCGGATGTGTGTCAATACCTGGGGGGTAGTGCAGGTGCGAGTGAGAGCTAGTGTGTGCAAAATGTGTGTGTTCCAGACAGTTCAAGCACCACAGAAGAATAAAAACATCCTTTCATCAGGCTCCTATTACATCACTTCTATCATTCATCATACATACAATGTGTTGCTTTATTTCCCCTCTTCTAAATCTAAATCTACGGGGTTTATATGGCAAACGTATGCTAGGGTTAATGTCGGATATTTCCCATGGGGAAAAACTGGGTTGAGAGGGTCCCGGGACTCTCCTCGCAATGGGCCTGCCTGAGAATAAGGGGGGGGTCGGGGGCGGCAGAGAGGCATCGTTCATAGGAGTCAGCGTCATCGCCCCTCACAGTCCACTCTGCGTCCCCTCCACTGAAACCCTCTGTCCAAACACTGATACACAGCCGCAAGGCTAACTCGCGATGCCTGAATATAGAAGTGAAATGGGTTTTTTCAAGACCGCCGGCTTTCTCCTAACACTCGCGCAAGTATCACTCCCGTTTTGAGCTAAAAACACAAAACTGTCAAATATTTGGACAGTAGGACATTCTCAGTTTGAGCTCGGTAGTGCAGCATGTTGGTAAAAAAGGTTAAAGTGACAACTCTGCTTTTATTCAGGCGTATAGAGCGGGTAGCTCTTTTCATATTTAATCCCCCAAGTTCAGTCAAAGCAGGCCAACAACGATCCTTAACATACAGACAAGACAACCAATGAAGTTCCTGGCTGGCATAGTCACCTGGCCTCAGTCCAAATGAGGACGTTTTAATTGCACGAGTCTAGAAAATGACCAAAAGAAGCCAGAATAAAGAGCAAAGGCATCGCAGGCCTTAGATAAAGTGTCCGCTCATGTTTACGCGCGATAGAATTCAATTGCAAAAGACGAATTCTTAGTATGATGACGTAAGTTTGTTTTGTTTCTAAAATGTTAACGGATACGGCTCAAAGCCTGAAGATGTCACTCAGGCCAACTTGTCATTTCACATCCAATATGCTGGAGCCAACAAAAAACATGTCGCTGTCCTCATACTTGCAGACTGCACCGTCCAACACAAATACGCAATTAAAGTGCTTTTTTACTTCAACAAATCCCAAGCCCTCTCTGTTGCCGCAAACAGGAAGGCTCCATAAGTCCTCCTCTCGGCTCCTTAGCACTAACTTTAGCCCAACATCGCCCTGACGGGGTTGGATACAGAGCAGAGCAGGTAGGACAAGCGGGCCTTAGTTCACTCCACGCCACAGTCACCTCCACATCAGCACAGTGATGTTAGGGGTGTGGCCAGATGGGGAGAGAGAGAGAGAGAGCAGTTGGACAATAAAAAAAAGGCCTCCCTCAGCCACACAGCAGCCATGAGGCAACACAGAGCTGCCCTTTTAGTACCCAGTAAATTTATATCCCCAACATGGTAAAATTAGCCTGTGATTAGTGCCTACAAGTGGGGTGGGGCGCTGCAAGGAGTTGTTTGCTATTGCTAGGCAGTAGCGTGGATAGACAGGTGACATCGAGCAACACAGTGTGATAGTGTATTTGACAGTGTGGATGCTTAAAAACTCCTGAAACACGAAAAGTGCAAGCGACTCAAATGTCAACCGTTTGCCCGCCCGCCCGCCCCCCCCCCCACACACACACACACACACACACACACACACACACACACACACACACCTCTGATGTAAGCTTTGTGAGAACAAAGAGCAGGGCGGTGGAAAGGGTTCGAGAGGTTGGTCTAATCTGTTTGCAGAAATGCAATAAGTAGAGAAAGTAAAGTGTTGGTGAGAATTGACAAAAGTTGACCCTTACACCGACAAAAATGATCTTTTAACACCTGCATATAAATTTGTCTTGTTTCCTGCCTGATAAACAAGAGAAAAGAGGATAATAGTTTAGCAGAGATAAGGTTGCCCGTGTTGAATTTCAGGGTGTCTTTGTGTGTATATTTACAAAGACGAGCAGTCTGACTTTCACTGGTATGTAAATCTGAAATGTAATCATGACACCATCGGGCACATTAAAAAGCCTAAGCCTGCTCGTTATTACACAGCTGTGTACGGGAGCTTTGGTCACAGGCTCAGATATTCACGGCAAAGAAACACTCGACGTTTGTTCGTGATTCATCCTCAGACGAGAAGGACAATAACCTTTAACGTGTGTGCATGCGCAAACTAAAACAATAGGAACTGTTTCAGCTTCAATGTATTTTAGTTTCACACTTCACCTGCTGCGTCTACATGCTTTCAAGTTAATCGTGTTTGTTAGGAAACATGTCGTAAGGGAACCGCTCTGCTCGTCTCAGACCATCTCATCCTCCCAAAGTCATGTCAAAACGTCAACTGTTCTTTCTTTTTTCTTTAAAAAAGCCAGGTAACATTATTACTACTACTACTACTACTACTATTAAGAGTTAGAACTAACACTGTTGCTGATGAACTGATGAACGCGATCAATGTCAAAATTCTCACAGTAAAGAGTCTAGGATCCGTACGTGTGACGACCTGCACGTGTGAGAGCTGGACGTTGATTGGTCGACCACTGAAAGATGCTACAGTAGGGCTGGCATTGGACCCACTAACAACCTAATACTACAGGCCATAATGTGCGAGAGGCTAATGCATGCATTAGTCAGCGAGAAGAGATGTAACTAACGTACAACTTATTTCAATAATCTGTCAACGCTCAAACCGATGTAGCACCGCTGAAATGTTATCCGTTACAAAAACCTCCAGCATGCACCATGAGTAGGTGAGCCGGTATTCTCTCCAGTCTCATTCGATGGCCTCCGAGTGGACCGAGTTTAAAACACCTCCTGCTAAAGGTTTTGGACTACGAAGCAACTAATTGCTATGTAACAGGATATATGGTTCTCTGAAAAGGCACATCGGTCACACTTATTTCCTCTTCACAATGAGAACACACACAGAAATGACCGGCTGGCCAGCGGTGTTTTTGTCCCGAGTAACCCAGCGAAAATCATTCAGGGTACATAACTGAAGCTCTCAGAGATATGCCGACCTGTCCAGAGTTGATTGTTGCCTGTGCTCAGAGCTATAACTAGGGACTGTGAGGGGACGTGTTGGGGGTTGAGACGTACATCACCTCTTTCCTGTGATTTTCATTTAAAAACACATTTGAACACGTTTCATGAAAGAAATATAAATTAAGGTGGAAAAGGGTACAGAAAACTAATCATGGGAGTTGTAGTTTGGTCTTTGAAGTATCATGAGGTGAGCAGTCAGCCCGTTTCCAAACGAGCTTTAATAGTTCAAGCAGATCGATTCACAGTCATTTTTAAAAGGACACTGGCATTTTGAATTTTTGGCTTCACCTACAGCTCGTCACGCGTGCCCTCGGTCCCTCTGAGAAGACGTGTTAGCATTCCTCACTGTAACTAACCAAAGTTCAAAGCAATCTGCACCAGTGTTACAAGTGTCTGGTGAAGATAACTATCGAACTGGGACACGCAGATTCCACCAAAAGATACCAACTGAAGGACGCGGGTGTAAAACTTAAGACACCGGACTGCTAGAATGTTACCCTGGGAGGTAAATTGCATTGGGGGAGAAATGAACTGTGTGAATGTATGCACAATGAAGAACTGTCTGACAGCTGTGACAACCGCAACTACGGCAAGAATCGTTAGGGACAGATTGTAAGAAAACATTCTGTTTTGAAAGCAATGACGCACAATGGAAATAAAGTTGACATGTTCCGCTTGCTCACTAAATAGGACACAGTAGACGGATTCATCATTCACCATTACTGCTTAAGGATGAACTACGTTTTTTTTCTTTAAAAAGGACTAATCTATAGTCCTTAGAAAGCATTTCATTTCCCTGATGTGCTGTCCTGAACTCTGTGGACCCTCTCAGAATCTGTCCCTGGCTTAGCTGATGCTCGTGCATGCAAAGAGATGGCAAAGAATGTGCCTTATGTAGCTCCATCCATGGGACAAGCTCTGACTGCAATAAAATAATAGCATCTCCAGATGCCCTCTCAACCCACACACACACACACACACACACACACACACACCTTAAAACCCTCTTGGGAAAAAATAGAAAAAAATAGAGAAAGCACAAAGTGAACTGTACAATGTAGCCATGTGGGCCTAAATAGCATTTTGGGATGAATACGGGGAGGCATGCAGGCAGATCTACAGGCAGGGTGATGTTGTGGGATCAGGCAGACATTTAGCACAAAGCAGGTGAAAAAAGACACAAAGCACTGATATTTGTGCCTTCCCTCCCTGTCAAAACAACCTGTTCAACACAAAAACATGTGCTTGCCAGACAGCGTTATACTGAATATAATCATATGTATTTTCTGTGATGTAAGTATTAACTAAAACAAAGATTAGAATGAATCTTGTATAGCTTGTTACATTTAAATCCCATCCCTCGCCAGAAAGAGGGCCATGTCAGTATAGCATCTAATTGGCTAATGAGGATTTTTTTTTTAAAATTTATTTTTTTTTTTTTATTTTAAGTTCTGTAATCCTCCTGCAGTGTGTGTACAGGCAATGAAGAAGCCCACCCTATTTGACCTTGAGTGGCGGTTCCCTCTCCAGCCAGCGAACTCGTACTTTCTGTTTATAGTGATACTCCTTGAGGAAGTCCTGCAGGGCAGGGGGCAGCGGCAGAGAGCCTATACCATCGTAAGTGGTCCAGCGGCAGATGGCGGCTCGTGCCAGGTGCTGCAGGCCAAAGGGAAAGGTCCGATGGAGAGGCGCCGTGAGCAATGGTTCAAAAAACATGCAGGCGCTGGGGTCCTTGTAGTGCTCCAGCAGTCCTGTGACGGTGGAAGAGTGGAAAACACAAGGGTCGTGAGCATCGAAGCTGAAGTTGTGGTTCCACTGCTCGATGCGGGCGTGCAGCGAGCGGTTGTAACGGCGGAAGCTAACAGAGAAGAGGTAGTCCTCCTGGGCCGAGTCGCGCAGCAGGAAGGTGCCCTCGGGCCGTCCGTCTAGCAGCGCCTCGGCCTCGTAGCGGTCCATCACGCCCCAGTAGCAGGGCAGAGCTGTGATCTGCTGTAGGTCCGGCACCAGGCAGTGGATGTAGTCTATCTGAGTGTGAACCTTCCAGGGTCCCGGCTGCTGCCTGCTCAGGTCCCCAGAGGCGTGCCTCTGCTTGGGCCTCCGGGCCTGCAGACAGAGGGTGGTCGAATCCTCCTCAGAATCACAGTCCTGGGCTGGCACTGCAGCCCCCAACACTGGACCGCAGGCCCCTGATGATCCAGCGGCCACAGAGGCCCGGCCGTCCCCTGAGGCCTCTCCTATGCTAGGAGCCATCTTTGGTCCCAGTTTGTAGAGAGAGGAGCCCGGCACTGAGGCCTCCAGGGTGTGGATCTGTGCGTTAGGTGGTGGGTCCACACCTTCCTCGATACTAAGTCGGCGGCGCTCGCGCAGGCGTTCCTCCTCGTCCTCGGGAGATGTGTGGGCTGGGTCAAAGGCGTCCAGCAGGGCAGTGGAGGAATGCGGGCTAACCGGTGCCGTGTGCTGCTTGATCAGGTGCCACTTGTGTGCGAGGTCTGAGCCTGGCGGGAAGGGACAGGTCTCCAGCATGAGCTCCGTCAGGTGAATCTTCCGTTTGGAGGTGACGGGGTTCTTGGACGAGCGAGAGCGTCTGCGAGCGGGCAGCGGTAAGCACAGCCCTACTGTATCGCTGAGCCGCTGGCGCAGAGACCGAGCGTTCAGACTGCGTCCTCCGGACACAGAGTCGCACATCTCCTGGATGGAGCCGACTCCGTAACGCCTGTCCCTACGATTCCCGCTCCCCCGGAGGCGCCCAGACCGCCTATCTGCCTCCAGAGAGCTCTGGGTTTTGTTGGAAAACGAGTGTTTTTTCTTGCCCCCCCATGGGGCATGACGGGAATAGGAGTCTCTCCGGGCCATGGGTACGCCCCCCGATCGCCCCCGCACATCCTCAGTGTCCTTGTCGATTGTAATCTCCACTATCTGAGGGATGTCCGACACACAGTTATGGTGGCGACGTCCCACCGTTGCCATCGGCACTGGCAGGAGGCTCCGTGATGGGCTGCAGGCTCCCGATGCCTCACCTGAGCCGCCTCCTAGTCCGAGCTCCACCACGCAGTGGACGGCATCGGCCTCAGCCCTGCTCTCACTGGGTCCTGAACTGTTGTTGTGAAAGAGTGTCTGGCATTTGCTCTTCAGGTTGCTCCACATGTTGCCCACTTTCTTCATCAACAGGAGTCCCCGGGACCTGAAGATGACAGGAGACAAAAATTTGAAAAATCTCACAACAGCAATTGGCGCATACATTTAACACCGAGGCACAAGCTGCATAAAGAGTGTCCTACATTGAAATTCCCCAGACTACTATGTATCTAGTAATTTGACATGGCGAGAGTATAACGGGTCTGAGAGGTGGCTGAGCTTGAGTAGTTGGAACAGCGGAGTTAGGAGTTGCCAGGCAGACGTGCAGGGACACAAGGCCACAGCTATAAATGAACCCAGGATCTGCTCACAGCTGATCTGCTGGTATGTACTGTATTACAGAGCCAGCCTAGACCTGACCAAGAACTTTCCCTGTAACAGCAGCAGATAGGGCAGATGTACATGCACATACACACTCCCGTATACCGTTGATTTATTGCTCTATTAGAATTTGACAAGGATTTGGGAGTAGTAGCGTCGAACTGCGTTCAAAAGGTGCAAATTTTATAGAGAACCAAGTCGCCACAGGTAGGTGGTCTGCCAAGCACGAAGCACTGAATGATTCTAAAACGCAACGTTTCATTTCCAAGTTCAGACACCGTTTCTAGTTGGTGTTGCCAATCCAAAATCCCTGCAGCAAACAGCTAGATAACGGAATAATCAATATGCAAAATATCCAAAATGCAAAATATCCAAAACCACATGCCTTGCAAGTCTTCACACTTATGTTTTAGCCATTTCCTAAAAGTGAATTAGAACAACGCGTTTTGACATTCATCACTTGAAGTAATTGTAACTAGAAATGCACCGACCGATTAGCCACCGTCACCAGCTGATCAGCCAAGAACAGTCATCGGCCAATCGTCTGTTATAGCCCATTCCATTTTTTGCGGGTTCAAATGGTTGATTAACGCACGTTTTGTGGGTTGGGCAGTGCGGATTGGCTAACAGCTCGTATTAAAAAACCCTGACCGGGGCATCACACAGCGTGGAAGTTTTGATGCAGCCCAAACTACATTAGATAGATATGTTGCGCCTGTAAAACATGGAGGAGAAAGTGGGATAAACTGCAATTGGATTTTATTTGGCCTGTATGTGCAATTTTGAACAAAATTAATAGTCATTGTTTAATTATGAAAATACACAATTACATTTTGAAGTTTCCATGAAAAAAGTTACAACAATGTTGTGTATGCGGTCAATTATAATTCTTTGAAAACATTGCAATCAGCCAAGAAAATTGAAATTGATGCAATTGTAACTGATGAGATGATGACCGTATCAATAAGATACAGTACGTTATAAGAACATGCACTCCAACTATGGGAGTTTTTGCTGAATATTTAAATCCCTAAACCTGTCAGCATTAATTGCATGTGCCATTTACCAAGTTAAGGCCCACAACAAAGTAGGTTGGACCCTCTGTAGCGGGTCACTCCCCCCCCACACACACGCATCTACCTCTGGGCTAAAAGCAGCTATCCAACTACCGTGCATCCTGTCGCCCTGCCTACAGAGGGAAGTTTGCCGTGCAACGTTCATTAAGACATTATGGATGTGCACAGTCAGCTTAGAGAGACACGGGTTCTGTGATGCACAGGAAACCAGACTGGTCTTTAAGCACATGACTGATTAAGTTGATCTGCTGAGGCTATCATTAACAAACTCATGACGTCTGTGTCATCCCCTTTATTGACCTGCTCTGTATACACAAAAGATGACATCTCTCCACTTGACAGTCATTGGATGTTTACATTCAACTACAAAAAACAGCACGTAATAAACATAATGCTATGAAAAAATGATCTTATTCACACGGTTAAGCTGCATCACCAAATGACTAATTTGGTGTGGTTTCTCTCCTGTTCTGTGCTCCATGCATATCTGCACAATAAGCCTGAGTGAGTGTTGGAACTTCTTTGGATTATTGGCTTCACGTTAGCAAGCGCTAATAAATAAGCATCGCTAGCTTAGTCCGCCGGACGTCCCTCTGCTAGAACCTCCTCTGTGTCCCAGTGTTTTAGAACTGTGTTTAAAAACGTCATCTCTGCTATAAACAATGAAGCCAACGTCATGTCAGCCACACACCCACACACACACGCACACATTCGCGCACACACACACTTCAGTTTGGTGTTAAGTGCTGCAAGCTGTGGCTAGGAGTTAATTTGCTACTAGATTTGATCTCAAAATTATCATTTCTGATGCATATATATTTGATTTTCATCTCATAAAAAAATATCAGATGATTTTCCATACATTTTGAATCTCCTATCACTTGTAGTGTCATAGTGACGGGTCTGCAACGTCACGCAAAACCCTGTCACAGAGCTTTAGTCATACAACTTGCAAAGACATATTAATCAAGCACTGGTCGTATTCACAATCAATAATTAAAAATGTATTATGTACAAAATGTGTGTTTTTAATATTGAAGCCTCAATTAAAATGACAGCCTATTTTCTTGCTATGCACAATTAAACAATTACATTTCTGATTTAAATATCCAAACACGAAGCAACATGACAAGACTTGCTACTCCTGCTTTAACAAATCCTTGAACACATGGCATATCTCCTTTTTATGATCATTGCTAATTGGTCATTGATGAATTGATGCATTTGAACGATAGCCTTCAACCTCCCCGAAGTACTGACGACAGGTTTTGTTATAAATTAATAATTATATAATATACTTATTAGAAATATTATATTGAGCATAGTAAAAGCAGCAGTGTCCATGAACGGGCTAGATGAAGGTGAGAGGAGCCGACACAAGTTTGGCTGAAGTCAAACCTGCACCACGTCATCGTGGTAAGCGACACCTTATATTGTGCCTTTCCTGTTGTATGGAAAACAACTGGCTCTGTGCCCACAGCACAGGCTCCCATTATTCCTCACGTAATGGCAAGAATCCACAGTGCACGGGACCTCAGCCGTGCAAATCAATAAGTAAATGTTATTCAAGATGTGACTTAAAAGCAACAGTGTGTAGCATTTAAGGGGAGCTATTGACAGAAATGGAATATAATAATTGTGTATTCTTTAGTGTTTAAAATCACCTGAAAATTCTCTTTTTTTTATCGTTACCTTAGAATGAGCTGTTTCTATCAACATACAGTGTGTACATGTTTGTACAGTAGCCCAGAATGGACAAACCAAACACTGGCTCTAAATAAAGTAATTGGCATTTACACATCGGCCACTGTAGTTCTCCTACACACTTAGCTAATGAGCAAACTTTTAGCTGGTTGCAATCTGAAATCTCAGTGCTAGGACCGTCAAAATTGTGCAAAACTGACGTTCAAATATTCATTATTAGAAAACACAGGTTTGTACTACTCCTGTTTTTGTACATTATTTCTATGACACCATGTCCTAACTGGTAGCCTCAGCGCTTATTTAGGATAGGTACGTGGTCATCAGGGTTGTTAAATTATTTCATTGTCCGGTTGTTTTGATAATATGCAAAATTTGATCTCAAATGTGAGCATTAATACATTTAAATTATACTATTATTTTGCCCTAGGACTTTAATAGTTGTAAATGAATTTAAAGGTTCAGTCCAAAGGTTCTAGCCACTACACAATGCGAGTGATGATTGACACTTCCTTGAAAGAATTTGCCAGCATTTGCCTTGATTCTGTAATCGTACTGCCAACATGAAAACACTGACCTAGGAACGAAAACTGCATGTTCAACGGTCTTCCCTCAAAGATGAACTAGAATTGTGAAGCTAATATTATATCAGCTACATCTTGAGAGGCTGGATTTTCCACCCGGGTTGGAGTGTGTTATCCCTCAGCTAGCGTTTCAAGTTCACCTTCACAAACAAGGAAGTTCCAGTGGCCACGACACACAGCTAAAAGGGTCCAGGATCTGTAAACCTTAGTTAAATGTGCCCAGGTAGGCTTAACACAATGTCATTCTTATGACTGTTGCCACAATTTAACAATTATGTATCAGCAATAATAAACGAGGTCCACTTGTGCACATCTAGATGGCTTCACTGTTGACTGATAATAAATGGCAAGGATTGAAAAGATAAGCAAAGAGACAGAGTGCTAGGAGGTGTACCATTAACATACATGGGAATTACTACAAATGCGAGGAAAACTCTGCAGCGTGTCCTTGTTAGCTTGGTTACAGTCTTATTAGAAGTCAAAGAAAACTCTTGGAGTCATCCGAAACAGACGCATAGCAGTAATCATATTTCTCACTACATTTACTTTTTTGGTGCAAGTTATAATGAAGTTTAATTCTTGCTCTAATCATTTCTGCAACATTATAAACTAGAAGTTCAAATGTATGTCTACAGCCGGCCAAACACCGCTAGGGCATATCATATTGTATATATCCACCGAGAATGAACCCTGCTCAGCTAAGATTGATTATTTTAAACTATTGTCGCCCTATATAACGCCCTACTACTGTTGCCGTTGTTAACAACGGCCACACAAACAGTGCGATCCAGTCCACAAACCATGTACAGCCACCCTGAAACAGAACTAGGCTACTTCTGCTCTCCGGCAGCCCAACACACCCATTCTCCTGGGATCCCACTGATCTAAGAGAGGGCTGTAGAGAAGACAAGATTAAGGGAGGACGCCTTCTCTGCTCAGACCAGAGTTAATGAGATATTTGCAGCGTTTTGCATTCTGAAAGATATGTGGGATGCCGGAAAGCCACCCGGAGTCTGTAAATGACGGATAAATCACACCGATTCTTCCCATCATTAAAATCTCAGCAAATATTTAAACTTTCATTGGACATAATACGGCAAATTTCCTGTGCAAAATGATTTTCTTTGCCAAAAAACAAACTTTTCAAATAGAGACAGACCATGCACAGTAAAATATATTCCTACAAAACAATTTGGCATTAACAATACAAGTGTTTGTATGATCATTATTCTGTCCTTTTGTTCGTAGTTTGGGCTCAGTAGTAAACCAACGAACATTCAAGTCAGACAGAAAACTATAAGTAACTCACATTAGTTCAGTAACAAGAACTGGGAGAACATACCTTAACTTGCATTGTAAGACAAACTCTTTAAATGTGATGTTAACTACATGAAGTCATCCCTACAATAACGTTACCAACACTGCATTCGTTTGAATATGATTTTCTCATACAGATTGACGTGGATGTAAAGTTGCATTATACTAACGTTTAACGTTACTACCTTGACATATTATAGATACTACCAACTTAATGTCAACACAAGACACACAATTAACGAGCTCTACCGTTATTATAGCTGGTATATAGAAATGGTTTGAAGGCCTTTACGTTTCTGGAGGCCCCACTTAACCATCCACAGCCATACCGCTAAATGTAGCTACAGCCGCGAAGACAACGTTAGCTAGGGTCAAATTTGCCAAGTTGGCATGGTGCTTTCAGTCAGAAGTACATTTGTCATAAACATATTTCAAACTGCCCTCTATTGGTTGGTAACAGATATACCCTATCTTAACGCGAAACGCAGACGGCTTCGCTAACTTGCGGTTCAGGCTTACGAGCTGTCAAAAATTGCTAACTGTTAGCATCTCCTAGAATGGGATTTTCAAGCGGTTTAGTTAGCATTGGCTAAGCAGCCAGCTAGCGTTGTTAGCTTGGGAAAAAAGCAACGCAAAAATATACACAACTAAATAAAGTGGTAATGGGCTGCTTACAGATGTTTAGCAGACACATGTTACATGACTGACAAGTAGTAGTTTGTTTCTCGAATTCATATCTTACCCGTGTGCCTTTTGAAAGCCCTATTCAACAGCTCTCTTTGTCTGCAAAAAATGGCTATTAAGAGAAGTCAGCCATACATCCCCTTTGCGGACCACGGTGTTGGATGGAAGCACTAAAGGTACGCGGACACTTGATGGTATCATCCCGAATATTTAAAAATGAGTTAGTTAAATACTGATAAAAATATTTAAAAAGCTAAATTATTCTTTGAGCGCCGCGAAAACCCTGTTCTTCATCATGGTGGGGGTCTTCTTTTCTGCCGTGGTCGCTGCTGCTTGTAGCAGCCAATATGACGGCGCTCTCAGCAGGCGGAGAGGCGGACGGCGTCGAGCGTGAGGGAAGCCGACTGACAGCGGCTCGGTCCAATGGAGGAGAGGGAAAAGACGGCCATTTCCGACGGAGCACGCGGATAGGGAATGCCCCGGAGCTGGCTCCGCATGATGGGCGTCTCGTGTCACCAATGAACGAGAGAGGAGGATGGGGCTCTCCGCTAGCAGCTACTTGGAAACGTGGAGAGGCGAACCGATGCTAGTGGTGTTACGGCCAGGCCGGACCATCGACTCACTGTCTGATGTCATCCAGGTAAGTAAGTTGGGAGTGAGGGGAACTCCAGAACGAAGAAAATCCAAAATCATTTTATTTTGTAGAGATTAAAGTAAAGAGTACTACAATAATCCCACTATTCTCAGTAAATCCAAGCTCCTATTATTGTCATACCCAAGGTTTGTTTTACCAATTGGCCAAGACTAGGCCCCTTCTTGAAGAAGCTCCATGTGTCAAAATCTAGTTTTAAAGCTTAATTATTTCAGGTTTGTGCTTCAATGTTTCATATTCCAAAAACAATTTATGTTTAATCAAATTTCCACACAGCCAATCTGAAGGCCAAGTAATATTCCAGCATAAAAAACTGCACACATTGTGCAGACAGTGGACAGAAAGGGATCCAATAGCAAATTATACTCACCAGTGGCCCTTGAGCCAATTCATCTCACCATGATCATGCCTGGGAACTGTCCTCTCAGTGTCAATATAATTCCAGTGCACAGAACAAAGCCGTTTATCTATGAAGAAAAAGTAAACAACTAGGCTACTAATAAATGCATTTATTTTTGGAAATGGTAGGATGGTAAAAACTAGCGTTCCCCCCTATATCAAACAAAGTCAAACACTTAATGCAGACACCCTCGTGGGCCTTAGGTGCTGCAGAATTAGATGTGTCACTCTGGAGCCTAGACCACTGAGTAGGCTATGTGTCGTAGCTTGTACCAAAGTAAATCTCAGGAAAATTGAAAACAACCCAAAGCGACGTTCATAGTCACTCGCACCCACACATGAGGTCATCTCCTGGAGCCGGATCATTCGCAAGCACATGACACAAGGCGTAATGGGAAGTGGAAGTGGTGTGAGTAATGCAAGTAGTGAGCTGGAGCTCACGGTGAGTTCATTGGTGGAAATCACCAGCAGTCCGAACACATTAGCTTTTACATCTCCGAGCTGCTGATCCAATTTGTGCCCATGAGAGGAAATGCAAGAGAATTGCATTAGCACCGATTGTTCGGGGCCCAGGAGTGATTCACACTATTTTAGTCAACACGGACCTCTCCTGCCAGGTCGCCGCTGTGTCGTCTGCAAACCAGTCCGCATAACTTACTGTGTCCAGGATGATGAGATTCACTTGGATTCACTTCGAAAGACAAAGCCACAGCATCACATCAGCTCTGCTATAAATGAGAAACATGTCTTTAACCAAAGAGACTTAAGTGTTCCGGCCTTCACGCCTGACTATTTATAATAAGGATTGTTTTATACAATCAAACTTCTTAGAATACTTGCAAGTGGTGGCGTGTATATCGGGATCATTTCATCAATCCCAGAGAAGAATATGTGGATAGTGAACTTTAATTTACTGCGGCAAGCCACGAGTCTGACATCCAAGAAACGACGACAGATCATATAAGTGCTGACAGATAATATTTGGAGCATGGGCAGTCACAGAGGACACAAATAGATTTGGATACCTATCAGTCATGATGTGGAATAGATGGATGGATGCAGACGCTTGGATGGATACGTAGGATTCTTTCCACGGTGTGCAGATCACATTTCATAGTCAAATTCATTATTTATCTTCAGTACTCGTACCTCAAAGGTGTACTTATACAGTGCGTTGAATGTTTTGGTGGTAAGAAATGATGAAACATCAAGATGTGAGCAAATTTTGTTGGACTACATTTGGATGATGGTATGGTTTGTCCAGCTTCTCTCTTTGCAGCCCACTGAAACTGCAGGTGTAAAAAAAGCAGAGTAATTGACAGTTTTGGAATCGTGTCCGATTTGAATTCTCATTAACCTTTGCGTTTTCGATCTGACCTTATTATGAGTTATTGTGACTCTTGTTCCTATTCACTTTGCCTGCATTTTCTGATTGTATTGCAATTGTTTTGAAATTAGAATCACATTTGTGCCTAAAAATATAAATTCAAGCACATTCAGGGGCCAAGCCGATGCACAGTTTGTGCATTGTATTGTATGAATCTAGATGTACAGTTTCTAGGAGTTATTTGTGTCATGACAAAGACAAGGTTGCCATCTTGTGGCAGCAGGGTGGAAACAAAATTGCATCAACATCCAAAAATCACATGTGCTGATGATCAGTGTTAGTGTCTCAAACCCCTCAAATCTGCTGTTTCATTTCCGTAATTTCCTCCGCCAAGGAGGTTATGTTTTCAGTCTGGTTTGTTTGTTTGTCTGTTTGTCAGCGGGATCACAGAAAAAAAACTACCGGTCAGGTAATTTCTTTTCTCTTATGGATACAACCTTTGTGGAGGTCTGTGCTCTCTGAAGTTATTATTATTATTAAAAGTACTATAACAGTATATTATTATTATCATTATTACAATCATTATTATACTTTTAGAGTGATATTTGCTAAACTGGTATCATTTTAAATTCATGCCTGCGCTCAATACAATATTTTTTTGTAATCAATTTAAGGCTAATTCTGAAAATATCTTTCGTGAAGTATACATTAATAGCTCCACGGTCACACCCTGGCAATTTAGAGAAGTTGGTCGAATTTTTTTTAACAGTCAAGTTTGTCTTTAGAGGTCGGTTGTGCCGGTTGAACTGCAAGTGAACCCAGACGTGACGTGACTGGTAGATACAGGCTTCCCTTAGAGCAGAGGTCTTCAACAGGAGGTACTGCAGGGGGCCCGCGAAATCTTTGGTTGATTAGACAATTAAAAAAAAAATAATAATAAATTTTTTTTCTCTGAACATGAATCTGTCCATTATTTTAATAGTTCAGTATTGTATGAAAGATAACAGGTATGTTTATGCATGGCAGTGGCACTAATAGGCATCATTTTGAATAGCTTGTGTGCATGATTATCATGCAATTGACAGACAATGTTGATATTGGCATTGGTATCAGCTGACAAGCTATGTTTATAAATGGCAGTGGCACGGCCACCCTACACACTGTACCTTGCACATGTTTAAAATAAAAACATGAATATATGAACCTGTGTATTATTTGAATAGCTTAGTATTGAATGCACAATAAAGAGGTATACATGGCACTAGGCCCGTTTAATATGAAACACAATTTTATACAATATATATAGTCGGGGGTCCCTGCTCCATCTCTCTATCAGTTTGGGGGTCCTTGGCCTGACAAACATTGAAGACCCCTGCCTTCGAGGCACAAGACAGTCAGCAGGATGAGGGGCAGTCAAACCTCCACCTACAGTCTCCGCCAGCAAACTGCATGTGCTGCCTCCGCCTTCAGATTCTGGCCGACAGCTGGGGTCAAACATCCACCTACAGCAGCGGAGGCGGCACGTGCAGGTTGCTGGCAGAGGCTGAAGGTGGAGGTTTGACCTCAGCTGTCGGCCAGAATCTGCAGGCGGAAGCGGCACCTGCAAGTTGCTGGCAGAGGCTGAAGGTGGAGGTTTGACCTGCAGATTCCGTCCGACAACTTAGGTCAAACATCCAGCTTCATTCTCTGCCAGCAACCTGCACATGCCGCCTCCGCCGCTGTAGGTGGAGGTTTGACCTCAGCTGTCGGCCAGAATCTGTAGGTGGAGGCGGCACCTGCCTGGTCTTACATCTCTGGTTCTTCCGAGGTGTCCACAAAATAATGTGGAGGATGAACACCGACCCCGTATGAGATGTCCACATGCACCCGTCCGTCTTTGTCTACAGTCTCTTTTAATATTGGACGGTCCAGTCTCTTCCAGAGCTTCTGTTTGATGCGTCGTCCCAGATTTAAGGTTGGCGGACGCAGACGGCCGTTCTTGAACCTGTGAGGAGAGGAAGACATGAGATTAAAAAGTTTATACATGGAATAAATTGAGTGAAAAAATAAAGTGATTAGAAAATGTGATAATCATCAGATAGAGTTTTGACACAACATACCTCAGCATATTGTCCACAACTTGGTGGTGGAGTTGCTGGTACTCTTCGTCAGAGCGGTTGTGGATTAGAGGGCCGTCATGGTACAGTGGAGTCAAGGAGGGCCAGGGGCCGGGGGCCATGCTGGAGGCAACCGGCAGGTCTGCAGGCAGGATGGTGGCCCGAGGCTTTGGAAGAGTCTCAGCAGGTTTAGGACGGGCCACGGAGCTCCTCCTCCTCCTCTTCTGGGGACGGTCTGCAGTAGCAGCAGAGCGCCGGCGCTTGCGGGTCAAAGTCTGAACCTGGTGAGACACATGAGAGGATGTCAAACTAAAACCTGTCTAATACTCTCTGGAGGGTTTACACTGTGACTTATTTAATAATAATAATAATACATTTTATTTATTGAGCGCTTTTCATGATTCTTAAAGACACTTTACATTAAAATCATCATATAAAAGAAAGCTATACACTAAAATTTTAAAACGCATAATATCGGTCACACAATATTGAAAATTAGGATCTAAATGTGTCACCTGGTCGTCCCTGCAGCATGGACACTGTCTGCGAGCGGAGACTCTCCTTCCTCTCTGGTTGTCCTGCAGGTGGACGGGAACATCACACTGCAACGACACACACTCATGTTAGAATGAGGCTTCACTAGTACAGTCAAAGAAACATCTGGCAATAGATAAAGTGAATAATAACATGTATTGTCACAAACATAATGAGCCTATCAGTCCATTGAAAGAGTTCATGGAGGCCAGATTAAGTTAGCAGGAGGCCCCAGGGCTACAATGAGCTACTCCCCCTATTGACCTCTGATCCTCACACTCTTACACAGTGTGGATTTCTGTGCTTTATTAGAGCTGGTTTCAGATTTGCTGGTAGCCTG